GGCCACTTCATAGACTTCGTAGACATTAGGGCTGGAAGGCACCTTGTAAGATCATCGGGTCCAGCCCCATGCCCCAGGGGCAGGAAGTCAGCCAGGGCCAAAGGATCCCAGAAAGACCAGCATCCAGACATTTCTTAAAGTGTCCAGAGTAGGTGCTTGCACCACCTCTGCGGGGAGTCTGTGCCGGGCCTTGGGGGTTCAGATAGTAAAGAAGTTTTTCCTTATGTCCAGCCTAAAATGGCCTTGCAGGAGTTTGTGATGGTTGGATCTTGTCATCCCTTGGGGTGCTCTGGTGAACAGGTGTTCCCCCAGATCCTGGTGTACACCCCTGATGTACTCATAGGCTGCCACCAAGTCACCCCTGAGCCTGTCCTTCCCCAGGCTGAAGAGTCCTATAGCTCACAGCCTCTCTTCATAAGGCCTGTTCTCTTACCCTCCAATCATGCATGTGGCTCTCCTCCAGACTCTTTCAAGCTTCTCCACATTCTTCCTGAATTGTGCAGCCCAGAATTGGATGCAGTACTCCAGCTGCGGCCTCACCAAAGCTGAGTACAGAGGGAGGATGACATCCTAGGTCTTGTTCAAGATGCATTGGTAGATACAAGCCAGAATTTTGTTCACTTTGCTGCCTTTGGTATCACATTGGTGGCTCATGTTCATCTTGTGGTCAGCCATGACCACCAAGTCTCTTTTGGTCATGGTGCTAATGAGTGTAGCGCTGCTGAGCATATAAGTGTGATGTGGGGTTTTTTTCCCCACCCAAGGTGGAGCATCTTGCATTTCTCCATATTGAATGCCATCAGGTTCTCCTCTGCCCACCTTGCAAGCCTATCGAGGTTGGCCTGGATCACCAGACTATCCTCAAGTGTGGACACTCTCCCCAAAGTTTGGTATTGTCAGCAAACAAAACCAGTCCGCTTCTGACACCAGTGTCCGGATCATTTATTAAGACATTAAAGAATACAGGTCCGAGAATGGAGCCTTAGGGATGAGTGCCGTGTTGATTCGGTTCTGTCAACTACCACCCTCTGGGTCCAACCTCAAAGCCAGTTCCCCAGCTATTGGACTGTGGAGTAGTCAAGACCGCAGTTGCCCAATTTTTCCATGAGGACATCATGGGAAACCAGGTCAAAAGCTTTTTTAAAGTCCAAATATATAATATCAACCTCTTCTCTTTTGTCCAGGTGATGCATCACCTGGTCATAGAAGGAAATGTGATTGGTCAGGCAAGACCTACCTGCAGCAAACCCATGCTGGCTGTCCCTCAGGATGTTCCTTTCTGCTAGCCAGTCAAGAATGGTTTCTTTGATCTTTTTTTCCAAGATCTTTTCAGGGATTGAGGTCAAACTGATTGGCCTGTAGTTTTCCGGGTCTTCTTTCCTCCCTTTCTTGAAGATAGGCACCACATTGGCCCTCTTTCAATCTTCAGGTACTTCTCCCAAGTGCCACAAGTTCTCAGATATCCTCGCCAGTGGCTGTGCTATGATGTCTGCCAGTTCCTTTAGCACTCTTGGGTGCAATCTGTCCAGACCAGCTGATTTGTTGGGGTCCAGCCTCTCAAGATGCTCCCTCACAAGATCTATGCTAAAAGTGGGCGTATATTCACCCTCACCCTGGTCATCCCACATCATGTTTGGAAGGGTAGTCCCTTTGGGCTGGTGAAAAACCAACACAAAGTAATCAGTAAGCAGACTGGCTTTTTCCCTGGGTCAGTTGTCAGCTGCCACAATTGGTTTAGCAGGGGTCCAATGTTGCCCTTGTGTTTCTTCTGACTCCCCACATATCTGAAGAACGACTTATTATTGTCCTTGATTTATGTAGTCAGCTTGAGTTCAGTTGTAGCCTTGGCTTTCCTAGTTCACTCCCTACAGTACGGACCACTGCAAAATACTCCTCCTTAGTGGTGTTTCCCATCTTCCATCCTTTGTAAGCCTCTCTTTTTAGATGTAGGAAGTCCATGAGTTCCCTGTTAAGCCAAGGAGGTTGTTGAGCCCTTTTACCACCTTTCCCACAGGTTGGGATGGACTTCCAAATTGCCTTAATAACTATAACAATACACTTTCCATAACCATGCAAAGTGATGCTCTAGTCTGCTCTCATTTAACTAGTCCCTATGGTAGCACATATCTGTTGGACTTTTTTTTAGAAGCTAACTTAATTTGTGTTGGAGGTGAAAACCCTAGACATTAAGGACTCTGATTCAACATATGACCAATTCCACTGGCAAGGCTTTCCCATTTACTAGCCCTAAATTCAGGATTTCTCTCAAATGACCCCACCTCTAAGGGTCTGCACTTAAATCCAGATACAACCACCTACTTTTAACAGGTAAAAAAGGGAAGTTGCAACCCAGGAAACCAGTGTTGTGGCTGAGGCCCTTCTCTACTTATATTTCAAGCTTTTAGTTTTAGGAATCCTATATTATTGCTGGTATAAGAAAAAGAATTTGTACTGTCAACACTTCTGTTTGGTTAGCAGCCAACCTGATATTAGGATTCAAGTAAGGAATTCTCCAGTGATAACAGTTTGGGATGCAGTGCTATATATAACATGATGCCATGCAACTCCATTTTGCAGGTGTACAGTAACAGAATAATTAAGGTATCTTCCTACAGCTCCAGAGGCATGAATTTGAGCCCTTCTCTGGGCTTGGACTAAAGGGCACCCTTAGCTGACCCAGTTGTAAATAGTCATCTAGGATGGAGAGTAGGGGGAGTTAGGGGCTTCTGGCAGCAGAGTTGCAAGGCCCCTGAACAGACAGTGAAACTGGGTAAGAAACTCTGCTGCTCTGGAAGCAGGGGAAGTTGTCTGGGGCAGAGAGGGCTTTTGATGCAAGGAAGTGGCCTTGTTTTGTGTTTAACTCAGACAGAGTTGGGAGGGGGCATGCCTGAGAGAGGGCTGAGATGCTTTGTACTAGGGTTGCACAGGTGGTTTAGCCTTGAGCCCTACTGAGGGCACCTCAGGGCAGACTCAGAGAACCGGTAGCCCAGGAGCTGCCTGGGGAGGCCCCAAGGGCCCAGGAGCTCAGGAGGGGATCAAGGTCCCGGAGGAACTGGAGCTGGGGACTGCAAGAGCCAGTGAGCCTTGTGATTTTGACTAGCCTAAGAGTGGGGTCAGGGCCCATGGGCCACTGCTGGGACATGCAGCTAAGGAGGCTGGAGCCTAGGAGCAAGATCCGGTACCATGGGCCTGTGCTAAAAGAAGTGAGAGCAAGAAGGGAGGACACCAACAAGGCTGAGACCCCTACAATAGTGTGATGGTCTAGTAATACCTGGAGTGTGTTAAAGCCCCTGGAAGTCCATGCATCTAGCTTGATAACAAATCATCAGCCTACCCTTAAGATTCAGTCTCATAAAAGCATCAAGGAGAGAAATGACCCACCTGCCTTTTCCTTTAACTGGTTTTGATGAACTCAAATGTGGTAGAATAAAATCACATTTAGGTACTTAAGTCCACTTAGACACCCTGGGCACTTCCAGATGAGCGCACATGTGTGCTTTCCCAGGGACCAATAGCAGTGGCATATATTTATGGGGCTGCTAATTGTCCCTGGGGAACACTTCTGCATGTGAACTTGCGCTTAGCAAGTTGCCCCAGGTAAGGGAAGGGAGGTTGGGGCCAGCACCTGGGCTGCCCCCAGCAGCCTTACCTGGGGTCCTCAGGACCTCCTGGGGCTGCAGCAGTGGCAATCGAGGCAGGCAGAGCCCATGCTCCACGCTTGGGCTGGCCAGGCTCTCGTTTCAGGCAGTGCATGCTGCCACCACATGCGCTGCCCTATTTTTCTACTGCGGTATTTTTTTATACCAGGATCTCCCAGTGTCAAAATTTGCCACTGCACCTTAGCAGCCTGGCAAATGTGTGCATGTGGCATGTGCCCTCTGTGGCACCACAGACAGGCCCGCGGTGCCACAGACTGCATGTGCATGCTCATTTGGATGTGCCCCTAGCAGCTAGAAAAGAATCTGGCTCTTTGTCTGTAAAAGAAATATTTCCATCTAATCAAGCAAGCTGACAACCAATACAACAAGTTAAAGGGGGAAAAAATCAAGGACCAAACATTTTCATTTGCAGGCTAAACAAAATCATTCAGCTATGGAATGAGGCATGCCATGGTTTTCATTCCAGTTATGGAAAACTTAGCCAAAAAATGCTACATTTTGGCCATGCTATTAACTAAGAGGCAATCTGAGAACGTCAAGGAGGAAAGAATGCACATTGCGTGTTAAGATGCTCTTTTATACAAATACTGAGCTGAACACCATACAAGGGAAACAGATTCATCAACGCAACATAGAGAAGGAAAAAGCTCTGTAAAAGTCTGCACAAAAGTACATGGATAGAGTCACTGCTGTTTCAAGTAGCTCCTGTTTAAAAATGTCTGCTAGCTTATTTCAGAGATCTTTTTTAAGTGTTTGGTTTATTCGGGTGTATCAACATGCAATTGTATGGCCATTCTCTACTCCAATTACCAGAAGATATTAATAAAACCACTTCTCATTTCCCATGGTTTGCCTCTATGTAATGCTTTCTGAGAAGTGTTGAAAAATCACCTCTCATGCTATCCATTGAAGAGCTGAGCTGACATGATGAATTTTGATATATCGCACAATCCTCAAAAGTGTCTCATGGCTTTGAGTTGTTTGGTTTGAGATACTTCAAAGCCAGTTTTCAGAGAGCAGATGTTAAGCACTTTCTAGAAAACTAGTCCCCTTGTTAAAGGTGTCTCAGATTATGCTTCTGAAAATGCACATCCCTTGCAAATCTTGGCTGCTATTTTAACCCTGCCAGTGCCCCTTTAATGTACTGCTTGCTTAGTTTACATTAATGTAAATGGTGGCAAATGGTTTCTTGCCATCTGCCTGAGAAGATGAATATTGTTCAAGAGCAGCCATAAAGGGAACCTGATTTACAACCACTGGGAACAAGGCACCGATACCGATTTCAAGGTCAGTGTGAGAACATGCAGTTAAGATGCACATGCCATTATTGGGATTCCTTACCAGAGGAAGCAGTGTAAGGACAAAGAAGCAGGTCTTCCAGTGGATGGCCATCTTCTCTCGCTAGATCTATAGCCAAACTGTAGCAATTTACTGTTGGTGTTTCAGCTGAAGCGCACAATTCCTGAAGATCCTGGTACCAATATCTTCAAGTCTCACTCAGCTCTCTGCAACGAAACAGCGCAAGAATTATAAACGTAGAAGATGAGGAGAGAGGAATGGGCACAGAGAGAAGCCACACACTTAATTTGCAAACTTTGCCAGTTGTGAACTACCATCTTGTTTCTCATCTGCACAGCCATGGGTCCTGAGCCTTGACTTGCCCATAAAAAATGGTGTCATCAATAATTTATATCAAAGGCTCAATTAAAACCAACAGTCGTGGATAAATCCTAAAATGGATCCAATGAAGAAGGAACACAGGTTGCAACTGATAAAGGGACTCATATTTTCACCTATGAGGAACATCTTTCACTATCAGTATCAACCCAAAGCCATAAGGATCCCTGTGTTGTTCCATAACCCACAGGAAAATGAGCTGGTGCTCTCAGAAGACAAGTGTTCAGATTGCAAACACCACTGCTAGGACCGAGTCTCCATCACTGGAAGTTTTTAAGAGCAGGTTGCACAAACACGTGGATAAAATGCTATTGACAGGGACAAACTTGCCTTGAGCCGGGGATTAGATTAGATTAGATTAGGTGACCTCCTCCTGATTCTGTTTTTCTATGAGTCTAATATCCCAGCAAATGTATGAGCACCCAACAACGCAGAGGCCAAGAACTGAATGGGCACAAATATTGCTTTCTTATCTGCATCTTAGGATGAGGCTGAGTCATATCAGTAGTGAGGTCATGATCCCCTTTCATTTTCAGCATTTGGGCTGAACTAGACTCTTACTTAGCGAGGTCTCCAATAGAGGTCCTCCACATAGGAGTAGGGTGCTCCCTACTGCTCTGGCCCAGCATTTTCATATGTGTAGCCCTTCTGGGATATCATAGTTGCCAAACAAAATATAACCAACTCAAAGAATCACAATATAAAATCACAATCACTCAAAATATAGCCAAGTTCCTCCAACTGAGAAAGATTTAAAGACTCCTCCCTTACTCAGTCAACCACCAAATGAACTCAATTCTCCCTGTCTCCAGCCCCTAGGCCCAATGCCTACCGCAGGTATAGTGGGGTGGCCTGTGGTCCCCCTTTCTGCTTCATTGTGAAGCTTGTACATCCTATCACACCCGTTTACAGGAACTGAGTGTCAGACTTTCAATCATCTGGATATGAATACATGATGCTACTGCAACATAACAAACAGGACTGTCTGGGGGATAGGTTTCTCATCAGCATTAAAAGCAACTACAAAAGAACTAATGCAGAAAAAAAAATGAATAAAAGCTGGCACAGGGTCAAACGTAACAGCAGCAGAAGCAAAATACATTTAGAGCAGAGTGCAAGAAAATTAGAAAATGAAAAACGGCACAGTATCTTTCTCAGAAAAAAAGATGTATGTCTGAAAAAAAGCTGCAGGGAGGAGTATAAGGGAAGTCTAATAAAAGAAGGAGGCCTGGGAAGGAAAACAGATTTCAGGCAACCAGATAAATACATAAATGACATAGATAAATGTGAAAGAACTTTCCAATCAAGGAACATTCAATATTCCCTTCCATTTCAAACTTGACTGTAGCTTGCTGGCAGGACATCAGCATTCGGGAAGTGGAAAGCCTTTCATTTAAAAATTAAATAAATAAAAACACACTTTCTTCTGTATTAGTCATCTCAGTCCCAGCCCCAACCGAATGGAGGAGGACAGTGATTCACAAAATAATCTTCAAATTCACCCTCACTCTCTTTTTTCTTCCTTCCTGCAACTTATTCACTCACTTTCTGCTTGGGTACTGAATCTAATTACTTCCTAACTGTATTTCTGATGTTTTATCAAACAATGAGAGAGTGATAAGATCCCAGCTGAGGACAAAAAGTGTCCAGTCTGACATTCAGCAATAAGATGGTAAAAAATAATGACTCCATTAACTGGAGTCTGTGTATAGGCAGGGCCAGGCAGGGGCAACAGCTGAGTCTAGACTGAAAACTGTTAGTGGCGTTCCTGTGAGAAAAAAAAAAAACTTTGCTAAAGTAAAAGTATGGAAAGTCACTCCAAAAAGTGAGGGGTGCTGGAAGGGAAATGTGGGAGAAGACTGTAGAGCTGCTGCTGACCGTACAATATCACCCTGCATGGGATGTAGCACCTGTGGTAACTCTTGTGTTAGAAACAGTATAGCATCGTGATGAATGGATACATAGGAAAATAGTAGATGTCAGAGCACCACTGTTTCATTTTAATAATGTTATGTCTATAGGATAAACCAGTGCTGTTGGAACCTCAACAGTGGATCCATCCACATGAGATGCTTTACTCAAGATTAAAGCAAATTACCGCAGAGTAGGCATTGCTGTTTATACATGCAGATGCTAACTATGCAGTAATTTGCTCTAATTCTGAGTAAATTTGCTACTTTTAAATACAAGTAGCAAATTTACTTGGGAGTAATTACAGCACAGTATGGCAGGTGTAGATGGCCAACCGGGAGCAAACGTGCTCTTGGTCAGCCAGGCAGCAGGGGGTGGGAGATTGCTCCCTGCCCTTGGAAGCTGCCTGCTGTGGGGTAGGCTCTGCCACCAAAGCCCTGGTGGGAACAATGTCCTTCTGCCCTGGCAGCAGGGAGCTCCCAGCCCTAGCTTCACGATTACGACCTTGGAGCAGGGGCTGGGAGATTTTTTTAATCGGTCATGATAAGCATCTCTGAGGTCACAGAGCCGGAGCTGGGAGATAAGACTCCCCAGGCCCAGCTCTGCAATCGCGGAGCTGAGGCTGGAGACAAGAATCTCCCAGCCCCGGCTCTGTGGTTGCAGATTACTCTGGAGTAAACCCACCCCAGAATATTTGCACGTGTAGACGTGCCCAGTGAGACCCCATAACAGTTGCAGACCAGACAGCAGGTGATTTCCCTACAAACCTATGTTGGAGAAAGCATCTCTGGAGATTGAAGTTGCCTGCGTTTCCCACTCCTCTTCCCTCCTTGGTCTCTCTGTAGAGAAAGTCAATAGGGCTGCTGGTTTGTTGTGTGAGAGAGTCATGGAAACCTGCTTTTTTGCAAGGACCCAATAGTGATTAGACAATAATGACTTTCAGCCTCTCTTGTCCAAAGTCTGAATCTAGCAAGTAGATCAATGGATGGGGATTCTTGCACCTGCTGATTTCAGTGACGCTTCACAAAAGTATCAAAGTCCGGTTGTGGCCACTATCAGGATTAAGACCCTAGCTGAACAGCAATCTCACTAGAAGGGCAGCCTATCCCACAATTCCCTCTCCCTACTGCGTGGTACCAATGAACTACTACTGTGTCTCATGTAGACACAGCCAGTATTGATAAAGCATTTCCAATGAAATAATGAGAAACCAATACATAGGAATTTAGGACAAGAACAGACTTCTGGGTAATCAAAACCAGTCTCCTGCTACTGCAGGAAATCACATCCAATTATGCCCTAATGTATCAATACAATAGAAGGAGCATATCTGGAATATAGTAATGCAGAAAAATAAAGCTGAGGTGCACAACTGTGATTCCCAAATAAAGTATAACAAATCTGACCTGATCTGTTATGACTTAAGTGCTTAGAGGTAATCTGTAGTATGATCACTGCAGACGGAATTTCAACTATTTCTCTTCTCTAGTGCACATGCTACCTAGAGAGCATTTTATTATTTCTCTACCAACACACCCTATATTTTGCAATCAAAGATGTGGTGTTCATAATTCTCAAAATCAGAATGTCAAGAATGGTCAAGATAAGTAAAGAAATTTAAATCATGTCATCCAGCTTTTTCCCTCTAGACTTCCTCTCAAGCCCAGAGACCAGAACGCAGTGGGAACTTGGACTATCTGTAGATAGTACAGTACTTTCGGTTTAACTAAGGAGCACAAAATATATGGAGACTAGCTCCCTAGCTACCCATTCGAAGGAAAACTAAAATCAGTCAAGGAGACCTTAGGTGATACCTTAGGGTATTTAGGATGGTCTACGGAGCCACTGGAAATAGGCAGTCTTTCCTGATGGTCAATTCTTTAGATTGTGTGGAAGTCTCCAAAGGGGGATTGATGGATGCTTAGTAACCTATACTGGGCACTACAAAATATACAATAGAGTCCAATCCCATATAAGCAGTGAGGAAGGACAACACCATGGTCTTCTCCATCTCTGTCACCTTCACTGACACCACCTGCAGTGTTTTTAAATGATGCAACTCCTCCTAGTCTGACTGAAGTCAATGGAGCTCGGTATATTCACACCAGCTGGAGATCTGGCCTTACCATTTTTTAATATGGTTACATAACTGTGTTTATGCACATGTTTCTCCTCCTACACCTAAATGAAAAGGGCTCTGGAATCTAATTTTCCAGTTGCAAAAGCTATTGTTAGCAACAGAAGCACTGGGTTTGAAGGGCTGTATTTTCATCATTATCTCCATTCCTTTCTTCAGACTGCCTAATAACTACTGTGCATGTGTTACTCAGCTGCTTGCAATTATGCTTCCTGGAGGTCTTTTCTTGAGTGGATTCAGTTAAATGGCAACCCCTCAAGGGCGTATCTACATATGCGATTAATGCGCGCAAATAAACTCTGAGCATATTGATCCAGAGTTTTTTCTTCCCACGTGCACGTTCAAATGGTGCACCAGGTTCAAAAAACTCTAGAGCATATTGCTCTGGAGTTTATTTGTGCATAGCATTTAAAGCCTGGCTAGAGCAGTATATGGTGGCTGGGGACATAGGGGGTCAGCCTGCCAGCCCAGGGCTTCTCCGACTAGGCTCCATGTGCTGAGGAGGGGCTATCTATGGCATGAGGGTGCTTCAGCGTGGGAGCTGCCTGCTGGCTAGTCCTGCATTGAAACACACTGTGCCCCAGCCAACCAGGCAGCATCTACACGTGTGCTGCTGTGCACAAAAAAACCTCCATAGCAGGGCAGTACTTGTATTTTAGTACTACTGTGTATTTTACAAGTCCTACCTTGCTGCGGAGTTTATTAGTTTTGTGCACCCTAATAGAGGCATGCAGGTAGTTGATCATTAACTGTGAAGTAGACGTCTCATATAGATGCACC